ATAATAATAATAATAATAATAATAATAATAATAATAATAAAATAATAGTTATATAATATTACAATAATACTATAACAATAATAATAATTGTTAATAGTAGTAGTAGTACATCTAATAGTAATTTTAACAATAGTAATAATAATGAAAATAATAATAATAATGTGATGATGGTATGATGACACTGATAACAATAGCAATAATAATAATACCAACAATAACAATAATGATATAATAATCATAAGGATTAAAATAATATAAATACAAATTACTATCATCAAGGATAATACTATTATTCCTGCAAGTGTAAGCAATGACAATAATAATAATAATAAAAAAAACTGACACATGAAACCTGGATCGAAACAAAATATACCAATGACAAAAAAAAAAAAAAAAAATCACAATGGCAAAAATAACAAAAATAACAGAGAGGCATTAATTAACCGGCATCGTAGAACAGAGGAGGCGACAGCAGGTCTCATCAAGGGCATTATCACTGTTGCAAATATATCAACAACTTTCATTGGCATTGCAGATCTTATCAACAACCCTCAATGTCATATAGTACTTTTACAACCCTATTCCCTGTCACAACCCATTAAGTTTATTTGCGTCGTCATTAACATATTATATGGAGTACTATGTCTTAATAGTTTTAAAAGCATTAAATGACATTTTTTTTGCTAATTAATATGGTCGAAAACACGAATGACTGATATATTGTGGGAAAATACTACTCGAAATAGTAATAACTATGTAAATAACGACTTGGGATGATAATGAATGACAACATTAATACGTAGTATCGAGTGATATAATATAGATATATAGAAAATGAATGACTCATGCCCCGTTGACCCCCCCCCCTCCCTCCCCCTCGGTAAATGATAGTGAAATACTGAGACGAAAACCTGTGCGCGATTTTGCCGCTTGCGACGCCCGCAGATTTCACTTTCATCCTTTTTCCAGCTGGGATTTTCCGGGCCTCTGTCCCTCGTTTTTCCTCCCCTGGCTCTCCCCCCTCGTGAGCGCAACCCCCTCGTTCAAAACTGTTCTTGCGCAGCTCGTGAGCGCCCGTGGCCCCACGACACCGCAGCGCCCACGGTGTCAGGCGGACGAACCGATCAGAAACCGGGCGAAAACCTGTGGGAACTTTTGACCCGCGTCCCGGTAAGCAGCTTGCCAGGTTACACCGACCTGTGCTCCCCTGCCCAATCTTTTCCCCGTATAATCTGTGTGTTTGCTTTCTTGTGACTTCGAGGGGTCGCTGGGCGGAGAAATAAGGGGTCAGGTTGTTTTATCACAGGGACTTACAGTGTTAACTAATGGTGTCTCCATTTTGGAAATTGCTGAGTAAAAAGGTGTGCTGTCACGGTCTTAATTCCACGATTAGTATTATCAATGATGATATTTCTCTTTAATACTTATAATACATTTATTAAAATACATACTACTGGTATGACATCAGAATATACCTATAGACTATATACTTTAATAAAAAATAGGAAAATAAACCATCTACCTACCTTCTCCCAACTACGAATTTATCGCCGATTGAAAATTCTAAAAAAATGTTTTGATTTCATGACACCCCATCGCACCTGCAGTGTCAAGTAACTAAGCCCTGTCATTCACCGAACAGGTCACCATTCACCACCAAAACGAACGATTCAGGTCAACCAGTCTGACGGCAACTTTCGAGCGCCTCATCCTGACCTCCGGACGGTACCATGGCTGATGCCTGACTGAGATCTGTGCTCGTTCCGCCTGGCACACGACCCCGTCTGGGGGGCGGAGTCGAACCCGCGCTGCCTCGCCGCCGACTCGGTTGTCGTACCGCCCGATTATGATGATTATGATGATGATGATATGATGTAATATTCGATAAATGATAATAACATTGATCATGATATCGATAATATTAATAATGATGATAATAATAATGTTAATTTTGATAGCAATAATGATGATAACGGTAATGATAACAGTAATAACATTGATCATGATATCGATAATATTAATAATGATGATAATAATGTTATTTTTGATATCAGTAATGATGATAACGGAAATAACAACAACAATAATAATGATAACAATACTGATAATAATGATAATTGCAATGGAAATAATACTGATAATGATGATTTTAATAATGATGATGAGGATGATAATGATATCAATAATCATAATGATTGTGATGGTAACAATGATCATAATAATGACAATAGCAATGATAATTGTAGAATAATGGTACTGATGATAATAATGATTATGATAATAATAGTAATTATGATGATAATGATACGGATAGCAATAAAGATAATAATAATGACAATAATATTGATATTAACAACAGTAATAAAAGCAATAATGATAAAACTGATAATGATAATGGTAATAGTATTAGTAATGATGGAAATTATAATAAAAATGATAATGGTAATGATGATAATAATGATTAATAATAGTGATACTTCTATTACTACTAATAATAATATGAATAATAATGAAATTAATATAAATGATAGCGATAATAAAAGTAATAATAATGATAATAATAATGATAATGATAGTAAGATTATAACATAAAATAATAATGACCATAATAATGATAAGGATAACAATAATGATAAATCATTATCATTATTATCATCCTCCTAATATCTTTTTTTTATCATTATCACTGTTATTATCGTCCTCATGATTATTACCATTACTATCACTATCCTTATTACATTATTACCAACAAATTATTGTTGTTATTAATAATGTTATTGCATTGTTTTGTATTCAACTCGTCAGCTGTTAAGGGTCATGGCCTCGTGTCCCAGGGTGCGCTCCTCGCCCTTATGCCCGGGTGGTGTCGCCGCTGACCTGACCTCTTGCTCGGCGTGGAGGGGGGAGGGGGGGGGTCCTCTTGACTTGCTGGTGAAAGAAAGTACGTTTGTGTTGGGTCGCCACCTGAGGTATCGAGGCTTATTATTGTTATTATTATTATGGTTATCATAATCATGATCATTATTATCATTATTATTAATACTGTTATCATCATTATTATCACTGTCATTATTCTCATCATCATTATCAATGCTATTATCATCTTGATTAGCATTGTTATCATTATTGTTATTAGCATTATCATTATTATTATGATTTTCATTATCATCATTGCTGTTACTATTATTGTTGTTGATGTTATTCTTGTCACTATTATCATCATTATTATCAATGTTATCATTATGATTATTATTATTATTATCATTATTGTCATTAATACTATCATTATTGATATTATTATCATCATTATCATTATTATCATTATTTTCACTAGCATTATCATCCATCCCCCCTTTATCCTCATCATAATCATTATTGTCATTATCATTATCATCATCAGTATTAGTATCACCATTCTTATCATCATTGCCATCATCGTTATCACCATTATCATTACTATCACCGTTATCAGTACACAGTGTTCGGCATAAAAAAGCATAAATACTATCATTTAGTTATTGCCTTCTGGATGTAATTGCTGTGAAGTGAAGTGAAGTGAAGTGAAGCTTGTTTTAAGGGATTACCATTTTCGTTGACAAAATATACTTGGGCTCTAAATACACATAGCCATACTCACACACACACACACACACACACACACACACACACACACACACACACACACACACACACACACATATATATATATATATATATATATATATATATATTATATATATATATATATATATATATATATATATAATATATATATAATACATATAATTATAATATTTACACACACACACACACACACACATACACACACACACCACACACACACACACACACACACACACACACACACACACACACACATATATATATATATATATATATATATATATATATATATATATATATACACACACACACAATAATATATACCACACACAAACACACACAAATACACGACATAAGAGCGTTCGCATGTAAATCCGCACAAGTACAGCTCCATCACAACATGTACTGAAACAGAGAGACTCCCGCATCTGCCACGACGGCCCAGTGGATAGAGCGCTGGACTCCGACCCTCGACGTCCCGGGTTCGATCCCCGCGCCCCGCAGTTGCAACTCGCCTGCAACCCGACTGCTGGGTTGAGACCGATCTCACGGCGGGAAGACACATCGCCTTGAGACGTCAGTTGCAGGTGTTGCGTGTTGCTTGAAAATACATTTCTTAAATATCTGTATTATTATTATTATTATTATTATTATTATTATTATTATTATTATCATTATTATTACCATTATTATTATTTTCATTATTATCATTATTGTTATTACTATTATTATTATCATTGTTATTATTACCATCATTATTATCATCAATTCATATAATATAATCATTGTTATCATTATTATCATCAATGCTTAAAATATAATAATTGTTATCTTCATCATTATCATTATTATCTCTCTCTCTCTCTCTCTGTGTGTGCTTTTCTCGTTCACTCTTATCCTCTAAATCTTCCTCTTTCTCTCCCTCTCTCTTTTCTCTATCTAATCTATATCTATTTATCCCCACCCCTTCTAGTTCTCTCTTCTCTCTCTTTCTCTCTCTCTCTATCTTTCTCTCTCTCTCTTTCTCTCCCTCTCTCCTCGCTCTCCCTGTATCCTCTCTCTCACTCTTTACTCTCTTTCTTTCTTATCCATCTCTAATTCTCTCTCTTTCTCACTCTCTTTCCTCTCTCTTTCTAGAGCAGTGGCTCTTAACCATTGGTTTGTCAAGCCATTCTAGTGGGTCACTTAGAACATGTTTACAATTCTTCCCCCGATAAATTCAAAATATTATCAAAATATCATTTCTTTATATGATCATTAACAATTAAGGCTAAGCAGGGTCGTAGAGACATAGACAATTTAATTGAGGTAAAGCACACGTTTTTTCTAAGAGACAAAAAAAAAAAAAAAAATCAGGGACCCGCTGCTTTGAGCCACTAGCGCATTGGTGCAGGAGGTTCCCACCTGGGGGACATGGATGATGGTGGGACCCGGACATAGCCATCGATGGGCCGGGGGGTGGCGGGGGCATGGGCTGGGGACTGGGGGGTGGGGGGGGCATGGATGGCGGTGGGGGTGAGAGGCGGGGGGCCATGGGAGCTGTGCGCATGGGGAATGCCGGTCTGGAAGGCGGAGGCATCGATGGTAGGCGGGGTTGGTGGAGTTTGGCGGTCATGAGATGGGGTGGGAGTGGAGTAGGGGTCATGGCGGATGGCGCGATGGGGGGCGGTGGAGGGGTCATGTAGATGGGGTGGGGGGAGGGCCAGCCATGGGGATTGGCGGCGTGTGGGGGGTGAGGAGGGGACCATGGGGATGGGGGTGGAAGGGGAGGGCGGCAATGCGATGGTGCTATGCGGCATGGGTGAGGAGCAACGGATGGTGAGTGTGGGTTGGGGGGTGGAGGGGTCATGCCGATGGGTGCTGCCTGGGGACAGCTGGAGGGGGGCATGGGGATGGGTGTGCGTGGACGGGTATGGGATGGGGTTGGAAGTGGAGGGTGGGCGTACCACTGGTGCATGGGGTTGGGGTGGTGGAGGCGGTCATGGATGGGTGGGGGTGGAGGGGGGGCCCATTGGGCGATGGGTGGAGAGGTGGAGGGATGCATGGTGATGGGGTGGGGTGGGGATGGTAGGGTGGCATGGAATAATGCACGTCCGATCCACGATTTCACTGGGGTGGCGGGTGCGTGGAGGGTGGGCATGGGATGGTGGGGGGTGGGGCGGTGTAGAGGCGAGGCATTGGAATGGCGGTGGGGTGTGGCAGGGGGCATTGGGATGGGGGGCGTTGGGCGGTGGAGGGGGCATGGGCATGGGGGGTGGGTCGCTGAGGGGCGGCATGGATAGTGGGGTGGGGGAGGCATGGGATGGGTGGAGGTGGAGGGTGGGNGGTGGGGGGTGGAGGGGTCATGGATGGATGGGGTGGGGGTGGAGGGGGGCATGGGATGGGTGGGGGGTGGAGGGGGGCATGGGATGGGGTGAGGGGGTGAGGGGCATGGGATGGGTGGGGTGGAGGGGGCATGGAGCAATTGAAAATTATGACGTCAGATTAAACTGGAATTTCATCTCACCTACAGCAGCTGCATATAATTATCTCTCATATACATAAACTAGAACCTTTTCATAGTGTTTTCTTGTCCTGTAGCTACTGCCACTATTACATTATTCATAACAAGTAATTACTGAATCGAAAAAGCTGCTCTTTTCTCTGAGTGGCTACTGATTTTTTTTTTTTTTTTTATCTTTGTTCTTTCTCTTTAGTGTTTTCTGCCCCCACCTCCCTCTCTCGCGTGTCTGTTGTCTCTCTCCTCTCTCTTCTCTGCCGCTCTCTCCTCTCTCTCGCGCTGTCCTCTCTCATTCTTTACTCTTTCCTGCTCTCTCTTGTCTCTCGCTCTCTCCTCTCTCTCGCGCTCTCCTCTCTCTCTTCTTTACTCTCTCCTCTCTTCTCATTCTTTACTCTCTCCTGCTCTCTCTCTCTCTCGCTCTCTCCTCTCTCTTCGCCTCTCCTCTCTCTCGCTCTCTCCTCTCTCTCGCTCTCTCCTCTCTCTCTCTCTCTCGGTCTCTCCTCTCTCTCTCTCTCTCCTCTCTCTCGCTCTCTCCTCTCTCTCGCTCTCCTCTCTCATTCTTTACTCTCCTGCTCTCTCCTCTCTCTCGCGCTCTCCTCTCTCTCATTCCTTACTCTCTCCTCTCTCTCGTTCTCTGCTCTCTCCCTTCACTGAACGGGCCATGGAGGTTATTATACATTGGTCGGGAGCCACAGAATGAAAAAAGTTGTGAATCACTGGCCTGGACTATTAATGACTTCATCTCATCTGGGTAAAGTCCCTTCGTAAACATTCTAAATACTTTAATTTAGATTATTTGCGGTGGAAAATAAAAGGAGATTCACGAATGTTATAGCGTTGATACCAGAAAGAAATAATGATTGCAAGATTGGATGGTTGTGTGAAGAAAACCCATCGGAAAGGTAATTCGTACCAATATTTTTTATTATTATTTGATTTATCTTTATTTTTATTTATTTATTTATTTATTATTATTATTTCTTTTTTATATAGAGCGGAGGGATTACTTCTCGTCAGATGCCACTGCGAACAAAGACAAATCCTTGGCGTCTCTGCATTGTCTTTATCTCTACCTTGTCTTTATCTTCCCTCTTATCACCTTTCACACTCCCAGCCGTATTCAAATAGCATCGACCACGACTTCTGGCAAAAACAACTTGGCATTCATAAAGTTTCAGACTATCTTTCCCTATCTTTTACAACACTATTCGGGAAAGATTTCGGGGGGGGGGGCGGTCTATGTCAGAAATGACAATAATTCACTTATCTTGATGATTCATTCTGGCATATATATAATTAAGATTTCTTTTGCTAGTATATATGCGTGTATATGCAAGCCTGTGTGTGAATGTAGGTCTATGCTATGTATACATATATGCCACACATCTATCTAGCTGTCTATCCGTCCATCTATCTGGCTATCTATATTCACGGCGATTTTATTTTTGTAACCAACCCCTGACGGCGAATTTTCGAAATCCGGCCAGCCTTTCTGAAGAGATAATTCGGCATCATTCAATTAGATTGATTAATCTTGGGTGAGTGAAAACACCCAGGAAGAGGAGTTTTCACTAGTCTGAAATTAGGGATTATGTAATCCTAAATAATTTAATCGTAATCGGATGTATAATTTACTCATGTTATTAACCCGTAACCTTCCTTAATGAATAAAGGTTTTGAGAGTGAATACGATCGTTGTGGATGACGGTTGACAGTGCCACGGTTGGGTTTGGCACTATCTGGCCTGAGACGCAGTGACTATGAATACGGCCGTTTGTTATAGTACTTATGAATATTAAGTTTGCGCCGAAGACCGCGGCTGTTCAGGAACATTAACTATTCGTATTGTGTTTAATATATGAATATATATTAATGTATGACTTACTTCTTAGTAATCATGTTGCGTGTGTGTGTGTGTTGTGTGTGGATAAAATAATTTAGATTCCTTTGAGTCTACTTGTATAATTTCACCCATAGACTTGGTGACGTGTATGGCATGTCCCTGATGTGCAGTAATGTGTATGAGTTATGTAGCTGACTAGGCACTGGGGACGCAAAGGCCCAGCCACACTTGTGCAGTACAAGGTGTGTATATAAGTTGGCGTCGCGCAAGAACCCGCACACTCACCAGGTGTCCAGCGCATCCCGGCCTCCGCCAAGATGAGGTCCCTGCTCCTTCTCGCCGCCGTCGCCTTCCAAGCCGCCCTGGCCTCGCCCATGGGCGCGCCGCTCCTCCCGGAGACCAGGGCGGCCCTCCTCTGCGGCAACTACTCCATCAACCCCGACCAGTCCCTCTTCATCAAGTCCAAGAGGTTCGCGCAGGACTACCCCAAGAACCACGACTGTTCCTACACCTTCCACTGCACGGACTACGCCGCCTCCCTCCTGCTCAACTGCACCAGGTTCGAGCTCCAGGGCGGTGACTGCACCAAGGACTTCATGCACGTCTACGACGAGAACAGCGTCGACGACCGCTACTGCGGCACGGACGGCCCGCAGAACGTGGTCACCGGCGACAACTTCCTCGGCGTCAGGTTCAAGACCAACGGCGACTCCGTCAGGAAGTCGGGCTTCTTCTGCAAGGTCAGGTGCTACCACGTCGACGACAAGACCACCACCACCACCACGGCCGCCTCCACCACCTCCACCACCACCCAGACCCCTCCAACTACCATCACCACCACTCCCGCACCCGTACCCACGCCTTCCAACGCCTACAGCGGATGCAGGTGCGGCGTGGCCCAGAGGTCCAGCAGGATCGTGGGCGGCGCCGAAACCGAGGTGGGAGAATACCCCTGGCAGGTGGGCCTCTACACCACCAGGCTGCAGACGCCCTACTGCGGCGGCTCCCTCGTCAACAACCTGTACGTCGTGACGGCGGCCGACTGCGTCGACGACGGGGCCGAGTTCCAGATCATCCTGGGCGAGCACGACTACACCAAGGTGTCGCGCGTGTACGTGCGCACGCCCGACCAGGTCAGCATCCACCCGGGCTACAACGCGCAGACCAAGGACAACAACATCGCCGTCGTCAGACTCAGCAGCCCCATCAACCTGAACGCGGACATCCCCGTCAAGCCCGTGTGCCTCCCCGAGCCCTCCGCCGACTTCTCCGGCAGGACGGCCGTCGCCACGGGCTGGGGACTCATGGCCGAGGGCGGACTCGAGTCGCCCGTCCTTCGGGAGGTCGAACTCACCGTCCTGAGCGAGGCAGACTGTCCCGCGGGCTCCTCCGCCACGCTGTGCGCCGGAGAACCCGAGGGCGGGAAGGGCACCTGCAACGGGGACTTCGGAGGGCCTCTGCTGGTGGACGTCGGCGGCCAGTACGTGCTCGCGGGCGTCACCTCCCACGGCACCGGCTGCGCCCGCGCTGGCCAGCCCGGAGTCTACACGGACGTCAGCAGCGTCCTGGACTGGATGCTGCCCATCATCGAGAGCGATGGCAAGTCGTGTGGAGACAACTCGGCCACCACAACCACATCCACGGCTGCTACCACTTCTGCAACGGAGGCTGCCACCTCCACAGCGGCTGCGGCCTCTACCACCACCACTGAGCAGGCGACCACGACCACAACCACCGTGGCGACCACGGCTCCCGCCACCTCCAACCCCACCCTGCAGTGCTCCTGCGGCATCCCGCCGAACCCCCTGCGCGCGGCAGGGACGGACCACATCAACAACAACCCCTGGACGGTGGCCATTCTGTCCAAGAGCTCCGGCCAGCAGGTCTGCAGCGGCGCCGTCATCAACACCTACAACGTGCTCACGGCCAAGGACTGCGCCACAGGAGCCGTCGCCGACCTGCAGGTCAAGGCCAACGCGCAGGACCTGACCAGTGAAGTGACTCGCATCGTCAACCGCGACGTGGCCTCCGTGTCGTCCAGCGGCGACCTGGCCATCCTCAAGCTGACCACTCCCTTGTCCCTGACCAACTGGGAAGGCATCAAGCCAGCCTGCATGCCGGCCTACAACCCCGACTTCACCAACACGCCCGCCGTGCAGTCCGGCTACGGCAGGCTCTCCGCCGGCGCCGCCGACAGCGCGCAGCTCAAGAAGGTGGACGGCGCCTTCATCTGGTGCTCGGGTCTGGCCTCCAACCGCGTCTGCTTCCAGCCGTTCCAGGAGCAGGGCTTCTGCGGGGCGGACAAGGGCGGCCCCATCGTGGCCGAGAGGGACGGCAGGCAGTACCTGGCCGGCATCGCGCTCAAGGACAACGGCTGCACCACCAGCAGCGGCATGCTGTTCCAG